TAAGACAAATGAACATGCATGTGGAACCCAAAGAGTTGGCAATCCATGCAGAAGTTTGCATTTTTATAATAGCAGGACAAAGGGAGGAAGTATCAGAAATCTCCACCTAGAGGGATATGGTATGGGAAGGGAAATTGTGCAGTAAAGATGGAAAAGGACAAAACCCTTCCCAAAGGTGAAGAGAAAGGAGATGGCAAAAGCCATTTTTTTTTTCCCCTTGGGAACTACTAGACCACGAAGATAGGATGGTCTGCTTATGTACATGGGCCCCAGCTACACAAGCAATTTCTCAGCCTAGTGCAGACTGACTGGTGCCTATCTTGATTCCCAAAAACACATAGGGAGTTCAGCTTCAGACACAAACAACAAATTATGTCAACTTGGAGAGGCTTCATCCTTGACATACTCAGGGCCTCCTGCATACTCTGGGTCCAATGTTTCTGGAAAATATGGCAACTCAAAAAGACAAGCTCAGGGGACCCCTGAACATTCCTTAATAAGCTTTAACAGCTGGAAGATATCAGCTCAAATGGGAGGTGGCTGGGGCTGAACCTTGAAAGGAACATGGGGCTTCTGACAGGTGGGAGCTTGGATGGGTGAAAGTGTTTCAAGAATGGGGGACAGCAATTCATCTTAGGGGCATTTCCCCCATCAGTGAAACCCATACTCCATAAGCAGCAAAGGACTTGTCTATACCCTCTATAAGAAGATATATTCACATGAAGGCTCACTACCCCTAATGCTCAAGGAAGTCCCTGGATCAACCCCACACAAAAAAATTTATGATATAGACTATAACTTAATGATGTGTGATAGAGAAGACTATTTAATATACTGTTGCCAAACTGACATTCCTAAAGCACAGGTGTATGTAATAACCTATTGCTTCTTGGCTAGCACACAAATTCCACTATTTGGCATTTAAAGTCATTCACATCCTGGATTCAAATTACCTTTCTAGCTTTGTTATGTATCATTCCTCTCTTGTACTCTAAGGACCAAACTGACCTACTGGTTCTTCCTTATAAGGGCCATTCCATCTACCATTTTCAGTATCTTTGTCTGGGCTGTCCTCCCTCCTCATCCCCACTTCTTTGATTCCCTAGCTTCTGTAGAGGCTCAGCTACTTCCTGCCTGAGAGCTATCTTGCTCCAGCCCTCCTGAAATTAGTTCCTGTATATGTGATTGCTTATTTGTGTTTGTTATTCCTCCATGTAAGCTCCTTAAGGGAATAGATTATTTTGTTTTTGTGTACCCCATATAGCATAGTGCCCAGCACCCAGTAGGTGCTTAATAAATGTATATTGAGTGAAGAAATATGCATTTATTGAGTGTTTGCTATGTGCCAAGCACGGTGCTACATGCTATAGACACACATAGAAAAGTAAGATAGTCTCTTATCTCCAGGAGCTTATGTTCTAATTGGGGGAAATAATACATGTAGAAGAGTTCATCTACTGGGTTGATAGCAAGACCCAGAGGTCCTTAGGGCTCTGCAGCAGGGCAGATGGAAAGACTAAGTGGATTTTAGGGTTCAGTGGCAGGGTAGATAGTAATGCCCAGTGGTCTGCCATCTTACTAGAATCATAGTTGGTCACTCCCTGCTTACTAAAGCATTGTAAGTGGCCCTATCTTCCCCACAGCCAGAAAGCTGAAGGGGCCTGAGCTTGTGATCATTGGGAAGAGTGGAGTGGGTCCCAAGGTGGAATAGAGGTGCTACTCCAGGCTCCCTCTTATGGGAGAATGGATAAAAGGTTTTCTCACTGGGAAAGGGAAAAGGGAACAATGGGAAATATATAGTCAAACCCTCAACTTTCATGGGGCTAAAGTTCCTTAAAAAAAATGGCCTGAAAGTTAAAAAAAAAAAAAAGACTGTTGACACATTGAACCTATGGGAAATAGGGGATTAGGTTCCTGCAACCATCAAAAACTATAATCATTTGCTAGAGACTGCTGAAAATACACTTTTCTGCATGTGATTCTTTATAACAAAACATTAATTCTGATGTTATACACTTTTCCTAACACAGTAACCATGAATTAATCCATATAATACAAGGGAGAGGAGAAGCAAGACTGAATAGGACAGGGAAGGGCAAGCTGGCGATGTCAGAAGAGTCATGAGGTAAGACAGGGAAAAGGAGAACCTGTCTTCTCTATTCTCTCTTTCAGCTCTGTGGTTGAACTGTTCCCCAGTGAAAAGCTGGCCATGATGCTGTGCTGGGCTGGACAGCAGTGGGGAGGCAGGACTCTGGCATAGTACCTCTCATTTTTTTCTCTTCTGCACATACCCGGGAATGTGGGTGGTTGCCAATTTGAAAGTGAAAATGAGGTTACTAATAAAAAATCATGAGAAGGCTTGAAACTGAAAAAGTTGAGAATGTTGATTGACTGTACTATAATATAATGGTAGGAGATAGGGAGGGCTATCTATTACATGACATGTAACAAAGACTATTTTATAATGGCATGTGATGGAGAACATTGTCTAATATAACAATGTATATAATATAATAATGTGTGACATAGAAGAATGTTTAATACAGTAATGTATAATAAGACTATATTAGCTAGGTGGCGCAGTGGATAGAGTACTAGGCCTGGAGTCAGGAAGACTCCTCTTCTCTAGTTCAAATCTGGCCTCAGACACTTACTAGCTATATGAACATGGGCAAGTTACTTAACCCTGTTTGCCTCAGTTTCCTCATCTGTAAAAAACCAGAAAAGGAAATGGCAAACCACTCCAGTATCTTTGCCAAGAAAACCCCAAATGGAGTCACGAAGACACAACTGAGATGACTAAACAACATGATAAGTGATACAGATGAATATGTAAGTATAAAGGAAGTGTAAAAAGTTTTCCTAAATAACTTAACAATAGAGTATAAAGGAATTATCTAAGTAATCTAACAATAAAGCATGAAGTTCTTTAACCCAATGGAATTATAGGGCATTGGTCATTGGAAAAAGGCAATGATGGTACACAGTGAACTTCTAGTGACTGGCTGGCTCTGGTAATCTTTTTTCCCCTTTATTTTTAACATTCACTTTTTAAAAAATTTGAGTTCCAAATTCTCTCCCTCCCTCCAGTTCCTCCCCCAATTATACCAATTATACATGTGAAGTTATGCAAAACATTTCTATATTAGTTATATTGCCAAAAAAAGCAAGAAAAATACAGAAAAAACAATATGCTTTAATCTGCACTGAGTCCATCAATTCTCTTCCTGCAGGTGGATAAAATTTTTCATCATGGGTCCTTTGGAATTGTCTTGGATCGTCGTATTGATCAGAATAGCTAAATCTTTGCAATAGATCATCATTACAATATTGTTGTTACTATGTGCCATCTTCTCTGGTTCTGCTCACTTCACTTTGCATCAGTTCATACATGTCTCCCCAGGTTTTTCTGAAACTATCCTCCTCATCATTTCTTATAGCACAATGGAATTCCATCATGATCATATACCACAACTTGTTCAGCCATTCTTCAATTGATGGACATTCCCTCAATTTCCAATTCTGTGCCTGATGGCCTTTAGAAAGAAAGAGTCGTTTATGGAGGAAAGATTCAGCTGTTGACTTTATTCTTTACCTTCTTCTGTTTGCCTCTGGGACAGTACGGTATGTTTCTAGGATATCTCCCTATATCACTGTTGGCCTCTTATAGCAAACACACATGGCAACATCCTGTAGAAAAGAATCAGGCGCCTGGAAATGGGATCCTATTTGGGAGACGGTGGGCCTCAGAGCTGAGACTCCTGGTTATGGATGCCAGGTCTTTCTGAAAGTACACAAAAGTATCCTAGGCCAGGATTTCAGATGAGCCCCAAACTGGAGATTTATGGGCATTATGGTTAAGCCTCAGAGCTTTATCCTTCATGTACAAGAGTCCCAGTGATCCCAGGAGAGCAACTCAAAAGGGATGCAGCACCCCATGAAGAACAGTTCCAGAATGTCACAAGGGGTCATGCCCCTTCCATCCTATAGAGCCAGAGATGTAAGTGGTCTTGACCACATGTGTTTTCTACTTGTGGGCCTCTGCAATTGTGAATTCTATGAGCATCAGTCATCCCTCTGACACTCTGTACTTGTGGGACTGTGTGCAGTTTTATGTAGAGAGATGTTTTACTATTTTTCTTACTATTTCAGTAAATGCCTTTGTCTTGTACTAATTGTGCACCCTAGCTGACTATCAAAAGTTATTTATCAATACCTTGATGGGGGCTCGAGTGCACACCCACCTGGGATAGTACCCAGGACACCCAACCTGCCAGTCAATTAGTCAACAAATATTTTGTTAAGTACTTTAAAATCACTATGTTCCAGGCGCTGTGCTAAACTCAATACAAAGAAAAACATAGTCCCTTCCTTCAAGGGGTCCCCATCCTAATGGAGAGAACATGCAAATAACTATGTTAAGTACCAGATATATAAAACATTAATGAGATGTGAAGGCACTGAGTCGGGGTGAAGGGGGAGCAGAAAAGATTTCTAACAAAAGGTGAGACTTTAGTTGTGACTTCAGGGAAGCCAGGGAGGAAGATGAGGGGAGAGAGCATTCCAGGCATCGGGGACAGCCAAGGAAAAGGCACGGGCGGGAGGTGGAGTGTCACATGGGGAAACACCTAGAAAGCCAGAGTCACTAGAGACCCTGTAGAGGTGGGGGGAGGACTAAGGTGTAAGAAGACTGGAAAGGTAAGAGGGGGCCAGGTTGGGAAGGGCTTTGAATGCCGAGCAGTACCAGGTGGCAGGCTTGCCCAAAAGCGTGTGTGTGCGTGCGTGTGTGTGTGTGTGTGGGGGGGGTGTCACACAGCCTACACTGCTGCAAAGGTGGGTCTAATGCTATCGAGACCACCTTGGAGGTGTGAGATACAGAGGACCACGATCCGTCTAGGCTGGGCCAGAGTATTACAGACGCGGTTTGGGGACGTCACCTCCCCTTATGCGGCCCCTCCGCTCCTCCCTCACCATTGAGCTCCCAAACTTTCCAGCCGCACCTGACCCGGCAGCGTCTATTCCTCCTACCACGCTCCCGGGAAGGAGACGGGCAGTAGTTCAGTCGCTTTTTCCTCTTCCGGGGCCGGAGCCGGGACCTCGGCCCGGACCGGGCTTCCTTGTAGGCGGCACCATTCCCTTCCTCGCCCCTTAGCAACCAGGACGCCACGGGGCCCACTCACCAGCAACCGGAGGCCCGGCCTGCGCGAGACTACAAATCCCATGATGCCCCACGGCCCGCTTCCGCCGCCGACTCCTAGCGGTCAATCGAACTACGGATCCCGTCGGCCCCCGCGCGGGGCGTCGGCGTCAGCCAATGGGCTGGAGACAAGTAGGAGAGGAGGGAGAGGGAGACAAGATGGCCGCGGCGACCGCTGCTGGGGCTACTCCGCCGCCTGTGTCGGCGTCTGCGACCGGGACATCGGCCCCGCCGCCTCAGCCCCCGGGGCGAGTCGGCAGCAACAAGAGCGGGTTGTTGGAGAAGGTGAGGAGCCGGGCCTGGAGGCCGAGCCTGGCCGTGATAGCTTGAGCCGGGACCTCTGACCTCGCTTCTTCCGCCCAGTCCCTGCCCTTCCTCCTCTCCTGGGGGCCTGAGTCCGTGTCCTCCCCCACCCACCTCACCGCCTGACCCTGACCCCCGACCCTGCTCTTTCTCTGTACCGCCCTCCACTCCCCGCTGCCTTCCCCATCCCCTCTTCCTGACTCTGCTCGTCTTTTCTCTCCCTTGCACCCCATCTCCCCTCTAGTCGTTTTATTTCTTCCAGCCCGTCCTCTCTGCACCCCATCTTCTCCTGTCCTGTCTCCCCCCATACTCTATTTTCTCTTCCTGCCCCTTTCTGCACCTTATCTTCTCGTGTCCAGTCTCCCCTCTAGACCCCATCTCCTCCTGTCCCGTTTCCTCCCTATACTCTCTTTTCTTCTACCGCTTTCTGCACCCTGTCTATTCCTACCTGCTCTCCCCTCTAGACTCCATCTCCTTCTGCCACCTCTCCCCCCATACTCTCTTTTCTCCTTCTGCCCCTTTCTGCACCCTATCTACTCCTGCCTGCTCTCCCCACTAGACCCCATCTCCTCCTGTCCCTTCTCCCCCCATACTCTCTTTTCTCCTCCTGCCCCTTTCTGCACCCTATCTACTCCTACCTGCTCTCCCCTCTAGACTCCATCTCCTTCTGCCACCTCTCCCCCCATACTCTCTTTTCTCCTTCTGCCCCTTTCTGCACCCTATCTATTCCTGCCTGCTCTCCCTTCTAGACCCCATCTCCTCCTGCCCTCTCTTCCCCTGTACCTGGTCTCTTCCTCCTTTTCCTCTGCACCTAGTTTCCTCCTCCCCTTTCCCCCTTACACCGTCTCTTCCTTTTGACCCTTTCTCTCTGCATTCCGTCTTCACCCCCTGCCTTTTTCTACACCTCATCTCCTCTATCCCTATTTTATCTCCGTCTCCTCTTTCCCTCTCCTCCTTGTCTCTTCTCCCTCACCCATTCCTCCTCCTTTCTTCCCATCCTCATCTCCTGCTTATCTTCTTTCCCCTCATTTCATCTGCTCTTCCTCCCCATCTAGACTCTTCCTACCCTCCTCTTCCTCACCTATCCTGTCTGTTCTTTCTGCTTCTGCTTTCTCATCCCCACACCCCAGCTCCTCCTACACCTTCTTCCTTTTTTCATCCGTACCGTTTCCCTCTACATCATCTCTCTGCTTCCTCCCTTCCACTCCTGCCCCATCTCCTCCTGTCTCTCCCTCTCACCGCATTTCATTCCTGAGCTGTCTTCAATCCTCTCCATTTCACTTGCTCTTCTTGGCCCCTCCCTTTCTCTTCTCCCCTAGCTGCCTCCTTTTTTCCCCATCCCATGTTGCTCTCTTTACTTTCCCCCTCAAATCCTCAGTCTTCTTCCTCCTTCATTTCTCTTCTGTTCCCCTTTCAGAGTTCTTTTCTCTTCACTTGAGTCCATCCCGTTCGTTGTGGAGCTATAACATGTTTTTGTGCTCAGAATGCCTCCTTGAAGTGCTTTCCTTCTGGTGGGGGGGATTGACCCAGACCTTGTCTAGTGACTTCTGAATTTAGGCCATTTCAATGTTTTTGTTCATCAAGACTGCTTTTGCAGTCTGTTTGATGATCTGGATTGAAAGTCATAAGAGTAAGTTACAGGAATGGACCCTAAGTGGCTTAGGGGCTCTCTGAAGGAAAAAAAAGAAAAAAAAACCTAACATGATTCAAGTCCTTGAAGCAGATGGTAGCATCTTCAGTTGTAGTGAACATTAAGCAGAGTTTGGTTACTTCTCTATAGGATCTACTAACAGGTCTTAGGAAATATGGTAGAAAAGCAGAGTGTTTGGTAAATGAACAAGCATTGGAAGAAACCTTTTGTGTGAAGCTGGGCGTGGGTAGTCAGAAGCTAGTAATACCTGGGATCTACCCAAAGCTTGTAACAACCCCTAAGATCTTGGAATTTATTGTTCTTTGTTGCATTAAAGAATCTTTTCTGCTACATGTCTGACAGCCTTTAGCAAAGAGACTTACACAGTGACTGCTCCACAACATATGTCCTGTCTTACTGTCAGACTGGTTTCCTCGTTATTAATCATCAATCATTTATTAAGCACCCTAGGTACTAGAGATGTAAAGATAAAAGGTAAAGGCATTGTCCCCCAGGAGCCCACATTCTACAAAGGAAAACAAACTTGTACATGTATAGGTATGTACAAAATAAATACAAGGTACTTTGTGTAGGGGAATGTACTAGCAGCTTGAGAGGTGGGGGGATGGTCATTAAAGGCCTCAGGTCATAGCTGAGACTTGAAGGAAATAAGAGAATCAAAGAGGGAGGGAAGGAGTGCCTTCTAGGCATAAAGGACAGCCAGAACAAAGTTGCGGAGATGAAGGCAAGGTATGGTAGGACCAGAGAGTGTGTGAATGGAATAGTGGGCAATGTGTTTGGCGAGGTGAATTGGGGCCAGGTTATGAAGGACTTTGGAGAACAAACAGGAATTTATTTTTGATCCTAGAAATAATAGGGAGCTATTGAAGTTTAAGTAGGAGAGTGCCATGGTCATACCTGCAATCTAGGGAAAATCACTTTAGCAGCTGTGTGAAGTATAGAGTAGAATGGGGAAAAGCCTGAGTCAAGGAGATGAATTAGGACAGAAAGCAGGTGCAGTAGTCCAGACAGGAGGTGATCAGAGCCTGAAGTAGGGCAATGGCAGTGAGTAGAAAGAAGAGGACAGATGTGAGAGATGTTGTGGAGATAGAAATAGCAAGATTTGGAAACTTGATATGTGGGGTGAAGGAAAGGGAGGAATTGAGAATTATAGTGTAACCCTGAGTGACTGGAATTATATTGGTGCCTTCTGTAGTAATTATCCAGAAGCTCCAAAGTGGAGTGAATGAAGAGAATAATGATGATTCTGTTTTGGTCATGTGGATTTCAAAATTCTTACAGGACATCTTGTCAGAAATGTCCAATAGGCACTTAATGGTATAGGACTGGAGCTCAGGAGAAAAACTGAGGCAGGATATATAGATTTGTGAGACATCTACATAGAGATAATAATTAAACCTATCAAAGGTGATGAGTTCACCAAGAAAGAGACTGTAGAGAGAGGATAGAAAATCTAGGATAGAACCTGGGGCTACATCACAGTTAAGAAGTTAAAAGACTGAGGAGTGATCAGATAGGAAGAGAACCAGGAAATAGCGGTGTCATGAAAGCCTCAAAAAGACAATATTCAGGAATATATCTAATGCTAATTTCCTAGGAAGTTAAAGATTTCAAGAGGAGATTAAAATAGAGAACCTTTTGTATGCACTCACATCCACATATACACACGCCAACAGAAAGCTAGGAGAACGCAGAATTGATATTTCATACATGTATGTGTATGTACATACACACATACATATATCTGCTTAGAATATGTCTTCATGGAGATATTTAAAAAATAATAGATTGTTTAAGGGAGAATATCCTTTAAGGAACAGCTCAAAGTGAGTTTGCCTGACTAAAGGTTTTCAAGTGGAATAACCAGTTATTGGGCATGTTGTTGATGAAATTGCCTTGAATGGGATTAGGCTAGATCTCTGAGTTCCTTTTCATCTTTGTAATTCTGTAACTGAAGAGCCTGGGCTTTAGAATAAAAAAAAGTTAGAGGTTTTTAGAGCTAATCTAGTTCAATCCCCTCTTTTTACAGATGAGAAAAACTGAGGCTCAGGAAGGTTAAGTGACTTAGTCATGGTTATATAAAGAATAAATAGAGGTGGGATTGGTGCCTTGGCCTCAGACTCCAAATCCTCTTTGCTTGACTCCACAAGAATTGCTGGGTTCTAGACCTGGCTCTGTCATCACTAACTTGTTCTTTGGCCTTAGATGAATGACTTCCCTTCTTTAGGCTTCAGCTTATTCATCCAACAAAATAAAGATGCTGGAGAAATTAATCCCTAAAGCCAATTCAGCTCTAATGTACGTTCTTTGGTTCTTTGATGGTTAAGGGAAGGCTTCACAGAGTATAAGGGATTTGTGCTATGTTTTGGAGAAAGGATAAGACAGATGTAAAGGGAGATTCCCAAGTAATGTGCGTGATGTGTCCAAGAAACGTTGCATCGTCTGCATATATTTTAAGGGTAACAGAATACAGTATCTCAGCTTTGTTAAGGACAGGCTACTCCCTCACTCTGACTTTCTCAACCAGGTTCCAAAGTCTTGGATTACCTTTTTGCTGCTCTCAAAGTTGGTGGTAGAATTAAATTTAGAATCATAAAAATCATGGCATTTTAGCACTGGAAAAGGTCCTTAGAGATTATCAGGGCCTGACCCTTTATTTTTCAGATCAGTAAACTGAGTCCAAGAAAGCTGAAGTCATTGACTCTTAAAGGAACTTCAGAGGTGAGACCGTTAGGTGGCACAGTAGAGTGCAGGGAGTCAGGAAGACCTGTATGTAAGGCCTGCCTCAGACACCAAAAGGCAGATCTCAAGCTCATTTTCCTCATTTGTAAAATGGGGCTAATGATAGCACCTACATCCCAGGGTTGTTGTGATGGTCAAATGAAATGATACGTGTAAAGTGCTTTGCAAACCTTAAATTAATATATAAACATTAGTTATTAAAATTTTTGAAGAATTATCCATGGTATAGTAGAGTGCTGGACTTAGAGTCAGGAAGACCTGGGTTCAGATGCTACCA